TTCATTTATTATGCAGATGTCAAGGAGCCTGAAAGTTTTCCATTTGTAATACTGGGTAACAAAGTTGATATCGATGAAAGGCAAGTGTCTACAGAAGAAGCTCAAGACTGGTGCAGGAATAATGGCAACCATCCATATTTTGAAACCAGTGCAAAAGATGCCACTAATGTTGCAGCAGCCTTTGAAGAAGCGGTTAGAAGAGTTCTAGCCTCTGAAGATAGATCAGACCACTTTATTCAAACAGATACAGTAAACCTTCATCGGAAACCGAAACCCAGTTCATCTTGTTGTTGACTTAAAGATTTTTTTCGCCAAATTACTTTTGATTAGCTTGCTCTATAAAAGGATGGGGAAGGTGTAGTAGATAAAGTAACAAAAAATGGGTTTTGCTCTAATATTAAAATTGTAATATTCTGCTGCTTTCTAGGGGGAGCAAAAGAAAAATTTCTATTCATGAGTGACCCATTATTGAATTAGTAACACTTTCTGTTTAGGAAGGTGTCAAGTAAAACCATTAATATAAGAATGTAATTTGCCAACTTTATTCAAATGATAAATACTTTGAATATAATTAAAACTTGAAAGTTCTAGAAGCACTACTTTTGAGAAACTGTTCTGGAATTCAGGCACAAAGATACTTTTGTATGTGTATATTTTTATGAAATCATTCCATTTTTGTTTTCCTAGATGTCAGTTTCTTAATGCTAGATATTAAACTTCAGTCTCACTACATTCCTTTTGCTGTGAGTGGTACTTTATCTTGTGTTTATTATAAGTTAATATAAATAACCTTCAGGTTTTCTCTAATTGTCTAATCTTGCTATAATTTGTGTAGGTTTTTTTAGCAGGAAATTAATTTCCTACATATTTAATGCCCTTTTTCCTTTCATTTACTATTCTAATGCTGTATTAATTTTTCCAGCAGTTTACTGCAAGATACTGCTGATTTTTTTTAAGTTAACACGTCTCTGCCTTAAGTCTTATTGCAGCATGTTTCTGATAAGTACCTGAAGTATAACCATTTTTAGTTATGAAAAAGAGATGCTTTATTCAGTCAGCTTTAATAGCACTTCAAGGGATCCACATTATGACAAATTTGTAAGAGAACTTTTAGTATACAGCCTTAAAGTTCCAAACTTCTTGTTCCTGTTAACCTGAGCTGTGAATGTGTTTACCAATAATCTCTGCACTGTGAAACTAAGGCTTGGCAATACGTAGAGAACTCAGGAAGCTCTTGACTTAGTCGATTGTGACAGCTTTCAGCCCTAATACAAGTAAATATCTGCAGCTAGTGTTTGAGCTGAATTTGATCCTTATTTAATTTACTATTTTAGGGTATGGACTTGTACATTTAAGACAATGTCTTTTGTATTACTGTACTCGTTACCTGATGATGAACAGCACCAGATTCTGTATTTAATGGACCGTCTTTCTGCAGTAATGCAGATGAAACCACAGAAGGTGTATGTGAGGTTCTTCATTGCTGTTAAATGGTAGAATACTTGTATAGAAGTTGTTGAAAGTTGGCTCTCGGAGTACCCAGTGTCCTTGTAGTAGCAAACTTGATAGCGTGCCATTGCTTCAGTGTGTAATCTAACAGGCAAGCGCCTACATACATTGTGGACTTCAAAGGAGTCTATAGGACAGGCCATGTTATTCACAAAGCTACACAGACTCTGCTTTCTGTACAGCAACTTTTGTGCTCCAATAGAAAAGCCTTTCTTGAGAGTACAGTAACAGCAAGAGTTTTCTCTTAATGTTATCTATTCACTCTGTACCAGGTGTAATTATTTGGAAGTAAAGCTTGCAAAACAAACCCTTCTTTGTTGCTCTTAATACACTTCTCTGAATGTATTGTATTCTTGCCTGAACCTGTCCAGGACAACTTTACTCCATAGGTCTGCTGCTTCTGCTTAAAAGTGACATCTCTCTACTTTTTGGACATTCTAAGTCTTAATTCATTCTTGCAGTCCTGCATATACAGCAACAGAACTGTGTGTTAAGCTTCAGTCACCGAACAGCTGAATATAGGTTGAGCTGCTATTTTGTTATGTTTAATTGCTAGTCAATGAATGAAAAGACCTGTGAAGAAAGAAAATCTTAGCTAAATTTCTCTCAATCTTAAACTGAGAGCGCAAAAAGTTTTAAAAACTAAGATTGCTTGCATTGGGGACTACGAAGCTAGTGACAGGAAACTGTAGTAAATCTAATACCTTACTAATTAAAGCTTTCTTTAATGTACATTTTAGCAGGGGTTAAGGTTGAAACAAAACAGGAGATGAAGTTATTGTGACTAGAGTACTATAGATATAATTCAAATAAGATTGCTAAAGGAAACAATTAAGGATGAGAACTGTTGTGGTCCTTCTTGTGCCAGAGAGTCCATCTGTTTTCCCTTCTGTCCCTTTTTCATAGAAATTCATGGTTACCGAGCCTCTATCTGAGAAGTAGGTTTAATAAAGTTAAATAAAACTTAATACAATGGAAGTGTATTACTTGTGCCCTGGGAGCTGCTGTACTGCAACTCTACACTCATCACAAAAGTGGCTAGTAAAGATAAAGAGGGGCTTTATATGCTATAGTAAATAAGACAGTATAAAAATTATGTTGAGGTCAGGATTTGGGCTGAGAGGGAGATTATCAAGTACTTGAAAGAAGCAGAAGTCCTATGACAAGTACAAAAAAATCATGTTTAGTAACAACTGCATTTCTTTGAAAGCTTAGTATCTATCACTCAATATGGAGGCAAGGTAGGCATGTGTGGCTTATGTTTCAATTCACTGATCCATTTCAATTATTAATGTACCTCAAGTATGAGAGGGTCCTGTTAGCAAGAGTTCTGTAGAGTGACAGAGCATACCGTGTGGTATACATGCAAAGTTCCAGATGTCCTTTAAAATGAGGAACAAAAATACTGTCACAGCAAACTGGTGGGATTGATGCATATCAGAACAGATAGCAAAATGGGGAGGGGCAGAAGTAACTATAGCTAGGACAGCCAACAGCTGATGTTACAGCTCCTGCCATCTCATACTGCAACAGACTTCATATGAATTCTTACTCCTAAACCTCTGAGAATGCATGAACTTGCAAAGGAGGCCTCTCTTCTGCCTTGTCCATTGACCTTCACATTGCTAGAAACATTCGTTGTCTGATGCGTGCTAGAACTGCATCTGTCAGAACTAGAGCACATTTGTGACTATAGTTGATCACAACAGAACTTTCACCTGTCACTTCCAGATAGCACTCTTTCAGCTTATTGTAAAAAGTCACAAAACAAAGCATAAGCAAGTGTTCCTCCATACACAGTGAGGTCACAGCTACCTAGCCAAGGTCCTTCAGAATTCTGTCATGAGCCAACTCTATAATGATTAATGTAATGAGTTAGCACATAATGCTCCCTTTCTTGTGGCCAGTAACAGTCTGTTTTCATAAAGTCTAGATGTACCTATGAGAGTGCATTTCCCATTTAAAATTCCTATATTCAGAAGAAAAGGGGAAAGATGTATGGAGACCATAAGAACAGGCACCTTCAGAGATCAGGCAAGAAGTAAAAAGCTTTCATTTTACATAACGTCCTACTGTGTGCTGGCAGAAAAGAATACAATTATCAAAAAACACAGTTTCTAAAAGTGGTGGAAACTCTTAGCACTAATTCTTTACCTTTGCCAAAATTTTTCTTACTGCTACATACATGATTATTTAGCATAAATATTTCCTCAGTGAATCTTAACTCAGTATTTTTCCAACCATCATGCTACTGGGGAGGAGGAAGAAAACAGCATAACAGCTCCAACTTAATGGCTCCTTATGATATGAATGAGAATGCTTTACCTCAAGTGTTTCTGTTGCTTTCATGTATAAAGCAAAAAAAACCCAAACAAAAACCCAAAACCCTCAGTTGATTTACATAAGATTACATGACATTATCCAAATGCTGTACAATGCAGCTTTTATGAAATAATACTACAAAAACCAAGTATTCCCATCTTCACTTGCCGCCCTGCCGATAAAGGCAGCTTTACCACGATCATCTAGTTTTCTTCTAAATCATTTCAAGTATACTCAAACAGGCATCCATGCTGCATCATTCCGTATTTTATTTAAGGTAAATATTGCAACCTTTATATCATGTTCTTTTTCTTGTCGAGTATTTTACAGTCACAGTTTAGCAGTAAGTGTAAATTACAAAGAATGACTGACTATATATTAAAAGCACATATACATGTGGTCCCTTTAATTATACAGACTATGCAAAATGTACTACTTCCTAGACCAGCATACCACTTCCTTTGGAAATTACTTTTCAGAAATTTAAAAAAAAATGTGCAAAAAGGTAGCTTATACAGATTTGCTTCAAAAGGAAACAGACTACTTAAAAGATTGTGAAACCAATCAAAATATTAGGTACATATATGCCAAATGACCCATTCAAAATTTAATATTTTGGAATGATGGTAAGTTTTCCAAAAGGGTACCTCACCACATTTTCCAATGGAATAGTAGCCAGACAGGCCAAATAACGCCTTTCTGAAACCTCAACAAATAGAGTTTCATGGTTCAAAGATACTAGTCTAAATATATTAAAACAAAAAATAAAAAATTCAGCACTTGCAGAGAAAATGGAAAGAAGTGGGTTTAAACATGTAAATTTAGGGTTTTTTTTCCCCCCCATGTGTTAACTAGAATTAAAGTCAGGGCAGACACAGCTGTTCTGGTCTACTTTATTAATTCATTTCATTCATGCAACACTGCAGCTAAACATGTATTGCGCTAACCATCTGGTAAACTTCCAATTTTAAGCTTTAAAACTGTAAGTTTTTTTCTCAAAACTTCCTGAAATACTGAAGACAAAGCTTTGCTGATACATGCTCTTTTCTTTTTATTTAGCACTTTATAATACATACAGTATTAATATAGACCTGATTTAATACCACAAAGAGTAAAGTTAGTCTGCAGAGTTCTCTAGCAAAGGACTGTTAAGTAGAAAGGCTTATAAGAAAATTAACCACTTAGGCCAAACAGTCAAGAATTCCCTTTTACTCATATTAAATCACATGACTAGAGATGTCTTTTGTGTTTAGATCTGATTTCCTCCCACCCTGTGTAAGAGGCTTACATTTTGCATATGCATTGACACCCACATGTCTCAGTTTGTACCCAGTCAGCCCCTGACATTTTTAAACTTAGTTTTCATAACACGTAAAAGGAAACTACTTAAGATACACATTAAACAGAGAAGCTTGGCTGTTCTTATCCGTACCAGAAACAAAAAACCTCCCACCTTCTTCAGGAGCCAATTTGTCCCGCTTTAGAAAGATGGATATCAAACATGCCAAGAACTAGCCAGAAGAACCACAGTTCAAATTATCAGGAAAGTATGGAAAAAGCACTCACTCAGGAAAGTTAGTTATTCAGCTTAAAAGGTGTTTCTTCCCAAGGAACTGTACTTTCCTTTCAAAGGCACTGGATCGAATAGGAGAATTGAGTTCATAAAATGGATTCATTGCAAACTGAGGAAAGAAGGAAAAAATGATCAATAAGCACAAATGTCCAGCCCTGGAAAAATGTTACTTCTAATGGCAACTACTATTAGCTTTCAGCCTATTTAGTGCCACTTTAGAGCACGCAGCTCCTAAACAGTCACTTTCTTTAGAGGCCCTGGCATTCTCCCCATGTATGTGCACAGCCATCCCCTAGTGGCAGCTCCTCAGAACAAATCCATCGTGGCACTAGTGGGAACTTCTGTTTTAGAAATGAGCACTGGTGGAGTCCCCGCAGGAGGCCAAGATGGCGATTCTTCCAATGACAGCTTGCGGCGGGCCCACGTAGTGGAAGCACCGCCAGGTTGCGAGACCACGGGCTACTTCTGTAGAACAATCCTTTGCTTTCATTATCACCATTAATGACACAATACTGCTCAAAATCACTGGATTAAAATGAAAACAAATTCTGAAAGATAACAACTTACAATAACTTATAAAAATCTATTCTTTTAATGGAAAATACATGTTTATGTCACACGTGGCTAATGTGGAAAGCACGGGTGCTTCTCCACTTACACAGGCCCCCAGGAGAAAACATGCTAATACTGGCATGCCTGAGGATGCACAGCAGAACACACTTAAAAGTAATGCAGTGAGACCATACGAAGCGGGTTCTTACCTTTATATACAAGTCATATACGTCATTAAAGAAGTTCTTAATTCCATCTTCTTGCCTTACATCATGAAGCATTATAAATCTCATATGTAAAGCAATTAAGGAAAATTTAACTTTTACAAAGAAGAGAGACATTGAACATATCCCGAGATAAGCACTTACACCTAATTCTGCATATGCTTAAAATGTTTAGCTGTACATGAATTAGCAGTGAGTATGGGAGGAAGCATTAAAAGAAGTAACTGGAGCAGTGAAATTTAGAATGCATTACCTTTGTATTTTGAAATTCCCCTATTTGTAAATAAAAATAATCACCTCTCTTATTCAAGGTTATTCTTCTTAAAGCTAGAAAAATTCTGAATGTGGACAACACTCTCAGCACCTTTGCCATACACCCCTGAAGTTGAAACATGACATTCAATGTTACTTCCTATGTGTAACAAAAGTTTCACAACAAACACACCTCTGTACTCTCTTGACTCTGGATGAAGCCTTGACACCACATTTTCAAAATGGGTGTGATTGACACCAAGCATATTTATCCCTGCTCCTCCTCTCTAGCACTATCAAAGGGACGGGAACAGAGAATCATACAAGCTTGCTCAAACCCTCTCATATTATTCCCCTCTCATTCCTCTTTCCTCTACTTCATGTGAGCTCCAATTTTATTAGGCTATTCCAGCTCCTCCAAAAGGAAAAATTCGTCTTTCCAATTGGTCCCGACTTTCACCAACTGCTGTGCCTCCCAGCTTACTTCATCCTGAAGCTGGTGACTCTCTCTAGCAATAACAGTGGTGAATAGCCAGAGAAGTCTGTTCCAAACTCATTTAATCTGACTTAACCCTTTCTGAGAAGAGGGAAGGATATGTCCAGCTGTGACAAAAGCAGAAACAAACCATTCGTTAAACTTGTCCACAGTCTTCAGATACATGTTGTTAGAAAGCCACATGTTCTCATCTACTAGGTCAAGTGCAGCATGGGCAATGAACTGGTTGAGATGGCGATGATCATCCTATATGTATTTCCAGAAGACAAAGGATTAGTAATTCAGGGAAAGGAGTGAAATATAAACAGTAATTTGACCAAGATGCTAAGCAATTAGTGCTCAAGTTATGTAAAGTTATATGTACTTTTATTTTATGACACATATGTGCCATCCTGTAATTAAATGAAACTAGTATGTATTGTCACGATACTTGGTTTCAAGGGAGAAAAAAGGTCATAATAAAAAGATCATCACAAAAACAGTCTTGAGAGCAGCAAAACCAATGAAGCCTATATTTATAGCTCAGAAATTAATTCAAGCGTGAATTCTTTTGTTTACCAATGGGTAATCTCCCACTGCAACCTTATTCCACAACACAGGTCCTGACAAAATTCTTTTTCTCTGCTTTCCAGTCACCTGTTTTTGTGAAATTTACAGTAAGTTAGCATTTTTAGGACCATAATGTCTCTCTCAAATTTGGCAGAAACTGAACAACAGGTTACAATGTGTAAAGGTAGGGGGACAGATGGGGAAACCAGAGGAATACGTAAGACAGATATGCTGATAACATTCTCAGCTAAAGATTCTGTTTTTTTCAGGTTATTTGTCTAGAAACGTAGGATTTTTTAATTGTTTGGGGGCTTTTCTTTTTCGTAAGAGCCTAGTGCAGGAAAACATCCTGCAACTGGTATAAAATATATGCTTGCAGACGTAAAGTACACTTCTTCCTATAATAAACACAAACGATCTTCCGAGAGTAATCACAGCATTTGGCCCTAACACTACAAGAGTCAGTGTGTGGGGGAAGAGCCATTTACTTTGTATACGAACTGGAACACTGCAGGACATCTGCCACAAAGACTAAACTATACTGTTAGCTTCTATTAGACCAGAAACATAAGTAGTCTTGCACTGTTCCTCATAATATAGGGATGCTATTAATGCCACTCTCACACCTCTCAGTGCACCATGTTTTTCCCCCAAATCAAGTTTGGCTCAGGGCATTAACAGCTTTGCCAGTTCCGTTGAACCACATTGAGGAAGAGAGTAAGTAGTGAAGTTTAAGGGGCAAAAGCTTGTGCTGATTCACCACGTACATTATGCAAACCACTTACTTCAGGTGGCTGTGCATCTGCACTGAATTCACTCTTAAATGGCATGTCTCAGAAACAGACGTGATAGTTGCCAAAATATATCAATGTCTACTAGTTCTCCTTCAGTGCACATCAAGTTTAGATTTGCTCTTAGGAGAAAATTTAGTATTTCAACCTCAGTCAGACAAGGAGCCTACCCCAGGCAAGTTAATTCCATTAGCAGAATGTAGAAAATTAATTTTTCCACCATCTGACACATCCTCACACTCATCAAATCTACTCTGACTAGTCTTATTTCTGAATTTTTTTGTGGGATACTAGTTCAAAATACAGATGATATCATACTCTCCCAATCAGTGACAGCATATACTTCCATTTTTGGACACACAGGTCCACACACTTCTATTCTGAACTCTGTTTTTTCTTTTATGTAGTATCACAATGGATAGATTTATTCTTTTCCCACTTGAAACATTACTTATTGAGTAGTTTTACATTTCGCACGTTCTCAAACCCATATTTGTCAGTACAAGTTTCAAATCTTTCTTACTTAAAAGCAAGCATGACTATTGAATATAATTGAAAAATAAGACTTCTTTAGAACATAAAAATAAAGGACTGACTACAGCTTTAAAATTTATGTTCCTTACTTTACCTATTACTGTATACAGATGCCTTAAAATAGAGAATGACAGTACATAGCATTAGATAATGAACAGTTATTATAAAAGCTCTACACAGTAGGAGCAATATATGTGTCACCATACAGCATCAAACATTTAAGGAAACCATGTTTTATGAAGAACTAGTATGATCTGGTAAAGAATCTGTAAGAGACTCAAGAACTCCAGAGTTCTACTCCCTATGACAAAGTTTCTGTGAAAAAAGAAAACAGCGGGTACTAGTATCACTTTTAAAAACATGCTGGTCATGCTTCTAAAACTGTAAAATTATTGAAGAAAATGCACCATAATTACATCATAGGAGTATTAAAAGGGGGGAAAAAAACACACCTTGGACTCTACTTTTCCAGGAGGCAGAAATTCCATTTCAAATATGGGATTATCATGATGACCAACTATCACAAAGTAGAAACTTCCAGACATTCTTCAATACAGTGTTCCTTACAAAAAAAGATAGACACGCTTTACTGATGAGTCTACATAAAAACTCTTTAGTCGTCTGAAAATGCTCCTAAAAAATCAGCCAACATGCTTTGTATTCGTATTCACCACAGGCTGAAGAGGGCTAAACACTTTCTTAGGTATGCACATTTATATTTAAATAGGGGGAAAATACCCTTAGAAAGTAGAACATCTCCTGGAAGAGAACCTAGTTATTACTACCTAAAAACTCTTACTCTACAACTGACTGATGATTTAACCTCAGACAGCCCTCCCAGTGCCCTGGACGGTAAGGATCCCATGAAGTAACGTGGTGTAC